TTTGCAAAGTAAGTAATATCCTGACTTCAAATAATTGGCAAAGAGACAATATACACCCTTTTATGTGATAGGTTTTGTTTGGTTTTTTTTCCTAAATTAAATTTGCCGAAGTTGCTACCTACCTACTTGGTCTCCCATTGAGATATTATTTAGTTATTTCTTTACTTGTTAAGACTTTGTAAAGGCTCAATATCGATACAAGAGATTGCTCTTAATAATAAACATGCACCAAATTATCATAAAAAATAGGACATCTTGAAAATAAATGTAGTCTTTACTTTGTAGGGTTTATTAGGTTTGTGTGGCGAGGTTTTAGGTAGTGGTGAGGGAGCTACAGGGGTGGTTTCTCTGAGGAGCTCCTGGAAGTCTCCCCCATGTCTGACAGAGTCAATGCAAACTTCGTGTTGGGCTCACTTTGTGCTGGCCAAGGCCGAGCCCAACAGTGATGGTGGTAGCACCTCTGGGATAATATATATAAGAAGGAAAAAACAGTTATTGTGCAGAAGAAAATTTCAGCAAGAGAAAAGAGGAATGAGAACATGTGAAACAGCCCTGCATACACCAATGACATGTAGGAGGGGGAGGAGGTGCAGCAAGCATCAGAGCAGAGATTACAGTGGAGCCCAGGGTGAAGATCATAGTGAGGCAGGTTGTGCCCTTGCAGCCCATGGAGGCAGATATCAAGGCGGGAGCAGATATCCATCCACCTGCAGCCCGTGGAGGACCCCACACTGGAGCAGGTGGATTCCTAAAGGAGGCTGTGACCCCATGGGAAGCCTGTGCTGAAGCAGGCTCCTGGCAGGACCTGTGGACCTGTGAAGACAGGGAGGCTGCACTGGAGCAGGTTTCCTGGCAGGACCTGTGAACCCACAGGGGGATCCATGCTGGATCAGCCTGCTCCTGAAGGACTGCACCCTATGGGAGGAACCCACATCAGAGCAGCTCGTGAAGAACTGTAGCCCATGGGAAGGAATCACATTGCAGAAGTTCATGGAGGACTTTCTCTTGTGGGAAGAACACTATGCTGGGCACAGGAGAAGAGTGTGAGGAGTCCTCTCCTTGAGGACTAAGGAGTGGCAGTGTGTGATGAACTGATCGCAACCCCCATTCCCTGTCCCCAGTGTGCCACCGAAGGGGAGGAGGTAGAGAAAATGGGGAGTGAAGTTGAGCCTGGGAAGATGGGAGGGGTGGGGTAAGGTATTTTAAGATTTTTTTCTTATTTCTTATTTTCCCACTTTGATTTGCAATAAGTTAATTTTTCCAAGTCAAGACTGTTTTGACTGTGATGGTAATTGGTGAACGATCTTCCCCTGTCCTTATCTCAACCCATCAGTCTTTCCTCATATTTTCTCTCCCCAGTTGAAGAGGGGAGTGATAGTACAGCTTTGGTAGAACCCTGGTGTCCAGCAAAGGTAAACTCACCACAATGGGGAATTAACTCATGATGGACATAGCAGATGTTAACAACTCTCATTTCAGAACAATATACCTATCTTTCCTCAGGTCTCTGATGTACAAAACCTCCCTTTTGCTGAACTTTAATTCTGATATTTTGCAACAGTATTTGATTATATTGCTGAAAGGTCTGATATCAGTTCAGGATATTTCTATCTATAATGATACTTTTCATAGATATGTATATTTTATCCTTCTTGAACTCCTAATTAAAAATGAAGTAATTTCACTAGATTCTAAAAAAAATATAAACCTGACTGAATTACAGTTCATTAAATGTGGAAATGGTTCCCTTTTTTAAAATCGCATCTCAACACATTTGAATTGTAATACTCTTAACTTCTAAATTTTTGCAAGCAAGCCCATGTTCAGCTGTATTTTTTCTGAAATGTTCAGTTGTCCTCAGGGAAAAACTTCTCTATAACAGTAGCAACTATATGTGAAATCCTTTTTTTTTTGTTCTTGTTTTTTAATCTTCTTGAGCTAAGGAGGAAGTGGCAGGAAAAAGAAAATAGAAGAGTGAATAACTTCTCATTTGTCAAAATAGTTTGCTGTGCCTGAGGTAAAAGAATAAAGAGCTAAATTGGTCACCGACATGAGTAGTTGAAAACTTTTTCACAAATTGTGCAGTCAGTAAATGGAATTTGGCAGCCAGATTCTCCAAATATTCTGTCTATGTCTAGAGAAATCTATGCTCCAGGTTACAGAGGCTAAAAGAGAATTTCTGTTGGCTGCTACTGGGTATCAGAACAGTGGCTATTTTCTTAGCTTTTCAATGTTACCCTTGTACACACCCACGCAGCACAAGGAAAGTGAACTGACTCAAAGGAAAAGAGGACATGAACTAGACTGGTGGTAAATAAGAAATCAGAGGGTAAGAAAAGAGATAAGAAACTGTGAAGCCAGATAAATCATGAGAAACAATGGAAATGAAAGGGAAGGAAAAAAATATGATTTTGATCTCGCAAGGTCAAGGGGAAATAGAATGATTAACTGAGAAGCAAAAACTTTATTTAGTTTCAATAAACTGAATAAGTTTGGGACCATTTTCTAGGAATTACCTGATCATGTGAGTTATCACTGAATTCTCCATAGCACTTTTTCAAGGCTCTGATGAGCATTAATGATAAGCCTGTGTATCCAAGCTGTAGCCAACATTTGTTAGAGAGATTGCTAGATGGATTTGGCTAAAACTGCCAGGATCAATATAGATAATTGTGTTCCAGTGCCTTCAAATGTTCCCTAGTACTGTTTAATTTACTAGCGTAATTGTAGCTAGGAAATTTAGGTGCCTGCTAAGACATCTGATGCAGAGAAAAGGAATAGGGAAAGAAATAAACCAACATGAATTTCAAGAGATAAGGACACAAGCTAAGAATAAATAAGGATAAATCAGAATAAGTCAGGACAAAGAACCCAATGGAATAGAAATGCAAGACCGAGTAATCAAAACCGGAATGGTCCATGGCATCCAATAAATGTACTCTTTTAACATGTAAAATAGTTTCACATTTCCTCAGTCTCATCACGCTTCTATTGTCAGAAAGTGTTTGTGAAATTTGCAAGTGTAAACTTATGAATATATTTTTTGAGTCTTATTTGGTCTCTAAAAGAGGTTAGGAAAAAAAAGGATAATAGTGTATTACCATTACAAGTGACAGAAATTAGACACCTTGGTTATCACCTTAAGTTTCTAATTCTTCAAAGTGATGTTACAATAGCACGTAAGGTTGCCATTTCTCACAGTTTGGACTTTGTGTGACTGTATAAATGAAAGAATATTGCAGACACAAATTCACATGAGGCAAATTAGAAAACAGGAAGTATGCTAGCTGAGGAGTTCTCTTTTCATCCATTTGTGAAGGCTGATCCTTATTTACCTAACATCAAAAAGAAAATTCCATGTTATTCACCTCAAAAAATAGAGTACATCACAAAGCATAGATAAATCAAGGAGTGTAAAGTGGTTGAAAATCTTTATCTTTTGTAGAAAGCAGGAGTTCACTTTTTCTACTTTTTCATTGCCTCATCCAGTCTCCAAAGTTCTCAGAGATAACCATAAAGTTCTGATAGCTTCAGTCATATTGAAAATGGTTAAATTTTTTATTCTTTCTCTCTTCTTTCTCTCCTTCTTTTCTTAATCTAAACTTATGTGCTGTCTTTTGTTGTCAATAACAACTGTGCTGTATGTTTCCATTAGATCTTTCAGTGAAAACTGAGGTGCAAGAATCATGCAGTACTCGAGTATTTCCACAGTTCCCAGGGGAACAACACTGTCCCTCATCTTTCTCTTGCCTCCTCTTTCTTTTACCTTCATCTTACAGAATGATTTAACATTACCAGTAAGGTCTTTCTCTATTCTGTGCCAAAGTATTCTTGATTTTGCCCCAGTATTCTTCTACCATAGATTTTAGCCTCGTACCAAGGAATCAGATTGTATCCTTCTTATGCTTCCTAAGAACTACTTACATGTTCTTCATTTCATGGATCCCTAGCTTGAAACCCTCTGGATGATGTACATTCCTGAATGGCAAAACTATAACTGAAGGGAATAGGCACTAACCTTTGAACACGTAGAGTACTACATAAAATGTTGTCAGACATTCCTAGAACATGTATTTGTCAAACATTATTCTCAAAAAGAGCATTTTTAACTTAAATTGTATTTATTTGCAGTTTCTGTTTCCCATTAGGATGGTAAAGTTATTATGTCATGGAAAACACAGAACACATCCTGATTAAATATATCAAAGCAAACTGCAACTTGTGATTAAATTATTTTATGTGTATTTATAGAAAACTAAAACTGCAGGGATTGGGGTATCCATTTAAAATTGAAGCTAAATCAAATATACAATAGAATCATCATGATAAAATACTGTTAATTTAAACAATATAAGGATGTCTTTTAGGAAACAAACAGAAAACAACATCTATTTTATATTTATATGATTCAAGTCAAGGAAAGACAAATCTTATTGGCATTTCCTCTTTTCTAATGACTTTATTTTGTAACATTAGTTTTATTATTAATGCACTTCAGTTACATTGTGCATAACAAGTTGCCCAAATCTATAATGCAGTAAAATGTAAAAGCTATTCAGAAGAAAGATTTGAGTTATTAACTCTGAGTTGTCTGTTATTCATAAGTTTACATTATACAACAGAGTAGTACCCTATAACAGGAAATGAAAGTGACAATATCCAGCTCCTAATAAAACCTTTTAAAACATTGTATTATTTTAAATTTTAAAAGATTTATGCAATTGTTTAAATTGAAATTTTATTAAGACAGCAATATAGGGCTATTCTTAAAAAAATACAGCAGTTCCTTCAGTGATCTTATGTAATCTGAATTATGTGCATATGAGGCAAGTATTAAGTATTTGAAAACCAAGAAAAAGATATAATTTTCTTGACTGTCCTATTGCATTTGCCAAGTCTGGTATATTTAACAACTTGGAGATAAGAGATAATCTGAACTCAGCCCTAGAAATGATAAATAAGCATTTTGGATGATTAAGATAATGTATGCAGTACAATACCTGTATATGCAAACTGAACAAGATCCCACAGCGCATTGGGGTCTATGCCTTCCATTTTGATCTCTTCTTGCTTGGCTTCACAAACATCACTTGTAAACATGGCAGCAAAATAGTCAGAGACAGAACTGAGGACAAGTCTGCAAAAAAGTTAGAAACTGGTATAATTTGCATTGATATATGTATTAGAAATTTCATATATATGTAAACTTTTTAAAAAACATATTTTCAGAATAGTTATAAATTACCAGGAGCAATATTATTAATGCATATAGGCAGCGAAACACAGCATGACATTTCATTCTAATTTGGTTTTGCCTCCTGTGATATAAACCAAGTGGCACTTTAGCATATGACTATAAAACCGACATAGAAATTAGTGCTCAGTCTTTCTGATAATCTTCCAATCATGCAGATATCCCAAATGTTAACAAGATCACCTCTCAGTATCAAAACCAATACATTTCATACTCCATTTCATACTCTTCATTGTTCTTAAAGGCTTATTTTTATAAACTTCAAAACCAGCATGTGACTTCAGACAATCTATCAATCTTCAATAAAACTACTGGTAGCTTAACAAGTTATTCACTAAAAACAAAATAGAATCATTGTGTAATGCAATGTTTTTGTTAAGAAACATTTCCAAGGAAAATAATTTCAAAATACCTACAAAATGTGCATGGCTTGCTCTTTAAGGATCTGATTCAGATAAATCAAAACACAGGAAGTATCAGGTATGATTGTAATTACTGGGGCTTTAAGCTTAGGAATTCTTCTAAATACCATCTACAGTGAAATTCTGATCTTGTTAGGAATGAATATTCCCAGATGATCTTGAGACAGAAATGTGGTACAGCTATAAATAGTGTACTACATGCTTCCATAAAACACGGTCACATTTCTGGATTAATTTGAAACTATAATATATAAACACAATAAAAGACACGAGAATCACAACTGGAGAACTTGGAAACCAAGAAAAATACTTAGCCTTTAGTATATTGTTAACTATTTTGTTCAAGGGAAATAAATTATAAATTAAAAAAAAGAAATAGTAAAGATAAATGAGTTAATGTTTATCAGCCAGCACAGTAACTGATTCCTTTTACTCTCTTAGCTCATTCCAACAGCAAAGTAAAGTATGAAAGTTTGAATTGGCTTAATAATTTTACAGTGTTTTAAGCTACTATATTTTACCTGCAAGTATGGCAGCTTGAAGACATATATATGGCCTTTACTTTGGCTCTAATGATAGGAAATGACTAATTAGGTATAGTAGTTTTATCAATTTTTGTGTTGTTCTCAACTCTAGCAATCATGAATTTTAGAAGTAAACATCCTAATTCATAAACAGTTCACATTTATATTTATGTAATTGCTAAAACCCCATACTTTGGTGCTGCCACCAGAAGCTCCTATTTTTCCATCATTGTTTTCTCATCACTGAGGAACATTTACTTCTATTTGTTTATTTGTTATTTCCATTTTATTTTAATTAAATATTTATTTACTTATTATCTTTAAATCCCTTCTTCAAATAATTTTTGAACACTTATAAATAAGTGACTTTACTGTTAATAGATGCTTTAATAAAATAAAAAAATAGAAAAGAAAAAAATGAAATATTGATGATGTTCTATGAAATAAAATCTCTCACAGCCAGCAAAGACGTAATTTAGGTATGTGATTGAGATTTCCATTTGAGACCATTTTGCTTAAGCTGTTGCTTCAGATTTACTAACCATCATTCAAATTCAACTAGGAGTCTTCAACTTTGTCACTTGCTAGAAGCAAAGCCAAAACCATTTGCTGCATCAAAAGTAATGGATGAATGAACTTTTAATACAGAGGTTAATGATTAATGGAAATATTTTCAATCAGTAGTAACTTGTATTTCAATTTACATCATTTATGCTCATGAATTATTTATTATATAATCTTATTGTCAAATATAAAAAAAACCAAACCAAACAACAGAGGGAGAACAGAAAATAAATAACAGAAGGTTTACATCTCTTTCACAAACTTATATAAAAATGTGTGGTTTTCCATAATTTGTGTGAGGAAAGTCAAAGAAGTCATCTAATGGATTTCAGTTGTGAAGGAGAATTCAGTCTACAGGACCAGACAAGATCCAGTCCAAAGTGAAAAAAAAAAAGACTAAAAAGAAATAATACAGATGTCAGGTCCTCAGCATTACCCATTTTACTTAGAAGTTTGCATCACCTATTAAAGATGGTTTAACTCAGCAGAAAGGCTCTGTGATGTAGCAGCTTGATGTACAAGGATTCTTTTTTTTTAAGTACGTTATGTTAATCAATAGTTAACAGAAATAAGGAACCAGCTTCTTCATCAATATAACTGCAACGAAACGGTTAACTGATTTCAAGACACTAACTTTTACCTTGGGAAGCGCTCCAAAAGTTGAACTAAAGTGAGAGGAACTTGCTAATTACACTTAATTCTGAAAGGTGACACCTTTTGTAAAACTTAATTGCGTTCCAGTGTTGAGATAGAAGATGAAAAGTGGGAAATCAAAGAGATCAATGAATTTGTAATGATCTGCTGCTTTTTGTAGATCAGAAGGCTCCAAACATTCCTAAATCTTGGTTTAAAGGCATGTTGACCTATTCATCAATAAAGGTCAGCCGTCTCAGGATGTCACCTTTTTTAACTGCTGATCTGGTAGAGAGAATACATAATAAACTTTCATCCTTGAAACTCATAGCAGGTAACTCGTGGCTTAAATGAATTTGTGGACCCAGAAAGCTTTTCTCCAGATTAAGGGACTTTTCTGCCTTTACAACTAAGTTCAGCCAGATATATTTCTGGTTTGTTTTATAGTAATCAATATAACTGATCATTGATTCCATGACTCACTGCTTTAAGATGTGATTTGCTGCTCTGCAGGGGACACCAGCTGACACTGTGTGTCTTTACTAATAATAATAAAGCTCTACTGATAGTTCTTTACTGATATCTGCTTTACAGCTCTTCTTGCAGCAGACAAACATCTTCTGTATGTATAGATAAGGCTCCATGGTTTCATAAATTTTAAGGTTTGCAGAACCTATACTAAGATGTATCCATGCATGCCCTTGAAATAATTTCAGGAAAAAAAGAGAGTAGACAGTAGTCATCTGAACGGTACACAAAAGCACCATTAAGTAATATGCATTAATAGTAACATGCATCCAACTGACTTTTCAAAAACATGTTTTCTGTGAAGTATTCCACCATTCATTGAAAATTAAATTTTCTTTAGAATTCAGAGCTAAAAACGCATATTCAAAAAAAAATAATTTATGAATGCATATATGTGAGTCCATAGATATATATATGCATACTTCACAATTGTATCCGTCAAAAAGAAAGCGAAAATTAAAATGTCATGCGGTAAAATTCTCAATATTGTTATTTTTTTCCAAAATTTTTCTAAACAGAAGGTGTTCCTATGCAGTTAACAAACAGGAGGCAATCTTAGAATAAGTTTGGGATTTAGTATCCACTCAGAACCATTATCATAGTGCAATCATCTTGCTTATAATTCAGGAACATCAGATTAGCTCATTATCATATCAGAAATCCACATTTACTGGGTAAAGAAGCAATGAGTATGTAACAGTTAAATTAATGAGAATTTTCTCATACTTTTCATCATAACTGTTGATATTGACATTGTGTTCTGTGTGCTTACCTCATTTTTGAGAGAATGGAAGAGAACTATGTGATAAACTTTCTTCCCCAAGACCATCACAATAACTTTTATAAACTAGCCTATTCATAAAGGGAATTTTTAAAGAACAACTAAATAATAATAATAATAATAATAATAATAATAATAATAATAATAATAATAATATCTCCAAGGAAGTCAACTAGAGAGGTAGATTGAATTTTGAAGAGAATTGATTAAGCCTGAAGCAAGAAAGTTTACTTTTTCTCTTTATTTAAACAGCTTCCTTCCATTTTAATTTTTTATACAACACATAGCTACAAGTGACACCAGTAATCTACATTAAGTGATGTTCCCTCTTTTCCCTGAGGACCATGCCTTTCGAGTTTACATTCTCTTCTTTCTTTAATTCATCTTCTTTTAATTCTTTCACTGTTTCCAGAAACTAAAGTGTAAATACAGTAAGTGCGTCTATCTCTTCTATTCTACAAACTGAAACGCAAAGTTACATTCCATTATATTCTCATATTGTCTCAATGTTTTTAGGAATGTTACACAAATCCAATATCAACACTTCCAACAAATACACAATGTCGACCAGAGTTTTAGTTTTCTTCAGAAACTGTAAGTAATGCACATATCACATTTGCCAGATTTGACAACAAAGTCCATTGTCCAAAACACTTTGCCAGTGTGTTTGCGGTCCTATGTCAATTTTAAAGATACCTGCAACTGCAGCCAGTATTTGGAACTCTATGCCGTTAACTTCTCAACATTTGGGAATGGGCAAGACAAGCAAAATGTCACAGGGATGAAGATAAGAGCTGATGAGGATCCATTATGATGCAAATACAAAACAGAGCTCAGTGGTTTTCTCCAGAAGAATACCCACACAATTCAGACATAGCATACATATTTGATTGTAGAAAGATGACACAATCAACTGTGATACTCAATATGTGGGCTTTATGATTTCCTTTATTCACTGTAACTCCACAAGGAAAAAGGGGAAAAAGCTTGCGGGAGAAGGAAAAGTCCAGTTTTATCTCCTTTGAACTATCAGCAGAAATCTCAGAAACATAAATGCTAGGTTTGATGGAAGTATAGAGAATGATCTGTGAATTTATTAGAATAAGTGACTGCTTAAGTATCTAGATTTTTTAAAGTCCATTTGTCATCCTTTTATTTTAGAACTCCTTTTTACAAAATTACACAATAGAGCATCAATATTATTTTATCTTCACAACCTATTCCTCCATAGAATGTGGTTTGGTCAAATCCTTGTGTGTGATTTTCAGTCCCTTTTTTGATGGTGGGTTGTCACATCTTCCTGATCCAAGTACTTCTTATATGGCCTTCTTTGTCAATCTGTCATATATCTGAATTAGTTTGTTTTATTTTCATATTCTGTATCATTTAGCCTCTCCCTCATTTTATTTTCTTTTAACAATCAATTTGGAA